ATGGAAATTTCAAAGTCTTAGAAGTTCAGGTGATCAAAACTGCTATGGGTTATGTATTCATTTTTTCCACTGCATTTTTTTTTTTTAATAAAAAGAATTTACAGGGCATTCTAATTTCTTTCAGTGACAGTGTTTTAATAGGATGGTATTAATGTAAACTTTGAGAGCCAGTAGGTAGATTCCAGCAAGCGCTGGTGGCGCAGTGGTTGAAGTGCTTGGCTGCTAATGAAAAGGTCAATAGTGCAAATGCACCAGCTGCTCTAAGGAAGATCTGGCAGTCTGCTTACATAAAGATTTATAGCCTTGGAAACTCTATGGGGCAGTTCTACTACATCCCATAAGGTTGCTATGAGTTGGTATCAACCAAACAGCAGTGGGCTTGGTTTCTGGTTTAGGTAGGTCCCTAATTTCCAGGTATTTCTAGGATCATCATGTGTTCTTTCACTGTATCCTGTGCAGTTGGCATAATCTAGCATAAGGTTACTCGATGAATGCATGTGGGATAAGTGACTGAATCCAAGTTACCTAAGAATCTGAAGTCACACTACTGAGCACTGTACTCACCTCAGTCTCCTGCAGGCGGTGTCCAATGAGGCTTAGGGACTCTCCCAACAGCTGCAGATGAGCAGCAACATCAATGGGCTCTGTCTCAGGGGCTTTGGCTGGTGAGGTCGGTAACAGCACAGTGCTGGGCGGGGACTTCTTCTGAGGTGACAGCACTCCTGTAGAAGAAGCTGAGAACACAGGGATAAAAGGATAAAACAGAGACCAAAATTGCCTGCAGCCTTGAATAGCACAAAAACGTCCTTCCCAACTTTCCCTTTTTATGAGCTGCACCAGGTATTCACAAAACTATGGCTGGTGTGCCGTATCTGGTCTGTGACTTATTTCTGTATGGCTTACAAACTAGGCATGGTTTTATATTTTTAAAGTGTTATTAAAAAAACAAACAAAATACGCCCCCCCAACAAAAAAAAGAATACATGACAGAGACTATGTATGGCCTAAAAAGCCTAAAATATTTGCTATTTGGTTTTTTATAGGAAACATTTGCTAATCTCTGATCTCCGTTTTCTGAATTTGAACGTCCTTTTTGTACCCTACAATATTCAGTAGTAATATTTGGATGTCAAGATCTGCTTCTAATGGAAGCTGCTCTCCCAGTTTCCTGACAAGGAAGCAAAATTTGTAACACTGGGGAATTAGAGCAGGAGGGGCTATGGTCACTACCTTTCACTCTCATGGAACCTTCTGAGCTGGATGCTTTTCTTTTCACAGTTGTAGCTTCTGCTTTGTTCTGTTTGTGTTGCAGATACTGAGCTTTCTGCTTCCAAATCTGCAGTTGGATCCAGGGCAAAATAAATTAAATAAGACAAAATAGTAAAAGGGAAGGCAGTTGTGGAAGAACAGAATGAAGACAAGAAAGGGAACAGTAGAGGAGGGCAGACAGCATTGACATTAACTTTTTGAGCTGAAGGTTACTGAATAGGCTTCAGATGGTAATTACATTAGTATCTTAGAGAACTACAAGAGAACTACAAACATTCCTCAGTGATGATGGGGCAAATTGCAGTACTGAGTTTTAGAACACCCTAGGGTTGAGCGTTGGTGGCATGATGATTAAGTGCTCAGTTGTGAACCAAAAATTTGGTGGTTTGAATCCACCTGGCAGCAACATGGGAGAAAGACTTGGTGATCTGCTCCTGTACAGATTACAGCCTAGAAAACGCTATGGAACAGTTCTGCTCTGTCATAGGGGTTGCTAGGAGTTGACCCCATGCAACAGAGTAGAACCAGGCTGAAATGTAAACACCTGGTAAAGTATAATGTTCATGTGGTTTAATACTTCCTCTGGCCTGCTGATTGGCAGGGTAACAATAGCACTGGAAAACAGAAACTAAGGATAATCTACCTAGGTGAAAGGTATTTTACTTGCTTCATCCAGATGAGCTGTACCTTAAAGCAAGACAGTAATCCCAATTCCTAGACTAGAATTCTAGTTCCATATGCTCTAAGTGGAAAGTGACTGTAAATGACTATTATTATTTTGCTGGCTTCTTGACAGTAGGGTACCTGAGGTACTAATGGTCATGAGGATGAAGACTTGGAATCAAGAGACCTAGTAAACTCATTTCCATGATTTTATCATTTGCCATAGCCATTAAGTGAATGACTTTCCACAGTTCTCAGGCTTCTGTATTTTTATTAGATGGTTTTGATCTTGGATTCTCTTTCAATACTTTCAGCACTGCCCATGCTAGGTCATCTTTTGGTTCAAAGTAAAGTTGTTGGGAAAAAACTAAACAAAGTTAGAAAAGACAGTCTTTCTGCAGCTAAATCCTTGCCCAAGGTAAAATAGCACTAACACAGTGCCCTCGGCTCAACCCTTTCATTGATCATTATTTTCCGCACTATTTTCATTATAAAGGAGCTGTGGTGGTGTAGTAGTTAAGGCATTCGGCTAATAACCAGAAGATCGGTTTGAACCTACCAGCTGTTCATCGGTAAAGATGGGGCAATCTGTTTTCATAAAGATTTACAGCCTTGGAAACCCAATGGGGGTTGCTATGAGTCGGAATTGACTCAATGGCAGTGAGTTTGGGTTTTGGTTTATTTTCAGTATTATCTGGCTGGGTGGTCTACAAGAGAATTACACATTTTGGGAGGCACAGATCAATGGGAAAACTATTGGTAAGAAGGTGTACTTACCAGTTTGTCCTTTTCTGGCAATTGTTTCCACACCTCAGCCAGTTTTTTACTAAGTTCCCCAAAATCTGGCAGAAAAGAGTAAAAAGCCCAATATAGTTGGTTAGCTATCAGCAAAACATGAGATTAAGCAAAGCAAAGACTGGAAAAAGGTTTTTGAAGATTATACTTAAATACCAAGATTCTTTCAGAAAAACCAATCCAAAGCACACCTCATCACTTTTCTTCTCATTCCTTTCTATCTGAAAGGGACTGTTGTGGAGATCATGAGATAGGCTCAAATCCTTACACATCTACTCTCTAAGGATCTGTTCCTTATACATCTTTCTGGTGTCTTCTAATTTGCTTCCACAATATAGAACTTATCAATTTAGGTTAAAGAAAATGGTAGATTTGATAAAAGTAAAGATTTTAGGCTTCCACCAAATTTCTGAGAAATGAGAACCAAAGAAGAATTTCCCTACACCAGCTTGGGAGCAACTCTCCAGCCGTGTAATATGAGCCCGCTTCCATGCGTACAGTGACTTTATGCTTTACAAAGCACATACACATCTCTGGTACTTCATGTGAGCCTCACAACAACCTTGTGCAGCAGACAGGGCAGCTATTTTACAAATTAGGGAGATGGCATTTGGAAAAATGATTGTCCACGGTCTGTGGACAGTGTTTTCTAAATTCATTAACTTCAAATACAAAGATAAATATGAATAATATCTTGGAAAATAACACCCATGAACCATCTCATATAAAGGTGTTTATACATAAATACATATTTATGCACATTTATGTATGAATGGTGCTTCATATAATTGAGTTTTATATGTACCCTTCTCATTTGATCAGTTTAAGAGCTATAAAGAGAAAGCTTTTCTCTTTTCAGATGGGGTAAACAGGCAAAAATGTACTGTGCTTGTAGGAATGAGGAAAGAAATGAGATTTCTATTCTTTTAATATGAAGTGAAGAAGCTGCCTGCTGATGTGTGATTTAACCACACTGCCCTCAGAGAGACACATGAGAAGCACAAAAAGCTAAAGATCAGAAATGTCCTTACCTATACCTGGATGATCAGCCACAATGGTTACGCGATATTCTTTACAAAACACCTGGTAGGCCGACATGTTCTTCTTTTTTGGCTAGTGCCACATAGAAAACAGAACAGGGCAAGACTTATTGGGAACATACGTTTAGCAACCTTGAATCTATGGTAACAAAATAGAAAGGATACTGATACTTTTTCATCAAGGCAAAGAATTCTAACCACTAACCAAGTTTCTTAAAAAGGAATAACTAATTTTTAATCCATATTAGTTATCTCTCAAGTGATGGTCAGTTTTACTTTTCTAAGATAAAAACCACATGCTAAATTATTTTTAGATTGTTCAGGTTGTTGCAGCCACATGATAATTATCAACTGCTCTGTGCTGCTTGAAGCATGTTCATTCCTCACGACATTGTGACACATTCCAAAAGCAAAGTATAATTTTTGAGAAGCAAAAATCAAATATGCTCTTCAGCCCAGTTCAGTGAGGGATATATAAAACAGAAAATTACATTATCATGCATTCCATTTTATAACTACCCACAGACTGAGGAAAGTTAAGTTTTCCTATGTGGAAAGGGGCATTACATATCATCTGTCTAAACCTCTTATTTTGCAGATAAGAAAAAGGAAACTCAGAAAAATATGATGAGCGCTGGGTCTGACAACTAAACTAGTTATAACACCAGTAAGACTACATACCACTCAGGCTGGCTGACTTCCAAGGCTATGCCTTATGCTGTGCAGGACCTAAGAAAGGAAGCATGGCGCTCCCTTATAGAAAAAGTTACTAAAAAAAAAAAAAAAAAAAAGTTTTACCATTTTATAATCTGAATTTGATAAACTGAGGTATTTTCAGGATTGTTGTTGTTGCTGTTATATGCTGTCGGGTCGGCCCTGACTCAACGCGACCCCTCCTTGGGTTGCCGAGGCAGTATCACTATGGAAGTAGATTGCCCAATCTTCCTTCTGAGGAGTGGCTGGTGGGTTTGAACTGCCAGCCTTCTGGTTAGCAGTCAAGTGCCTTAGGCACTATGCTAACAGAGCTCCTATTTTCAGGATGGCTTTCCTTAAAAATTTATCTGGAAACATTAAATTATGGCGATCAGTCCTCCATCCCCTCTCTTGAGAGTATTTTCTGGTCCTTCAGTTATCAGGACACAAACATCAGGTGCTTCGTAAGCTACTGGACACTTTTCTTTGTCTTCAGAGTGAGATTTTAGGACCAAAACAAAGAAACAAAACAAAAAACAAACCCAAAACCAAACCAAAAAACCAATCCTGTATCATTACTTCAGAGTTGTATCTTGGTTTACATGATAGCCTGATCACACAATTTGTACACCAGACTTAGTTCTTTTTTAATTTTTGCATAAAAACTGTCTTCAAAGGACAAAAGCTTCCTGAGACTGATGTTGATAAGTAGCTTGTGTGGCGGCTCTGGCTTTAACTTCCAAAGGAATCCTGACACGATTTTGAGGCACGGACATTTCTATATTCCTAAAACACCTTCTCAGGTAAAGGCTTTGAAAAACAAAGATTTATTTGCATATAAAAATGTGATTTATTAAAAATTTAGCATCCAAATTTTATACTACTCTTTAAAAATGGCTTATCCATAGATCTGACATTTACTAGAACACATAATGAAAGAGTAATTTGGGGATGTCTGTACATAGCAAACTCTTTCTCAATTGTAGAGTCAATCTCCCTATTAAATATTGAGAACACTAAAAAGAATGTTTGAGAGATTTCACAGCCCATTTGGCCATATTATAAAATTTGCAAGGAGTTTTAACAATGTTTTCTCAAACACTACATATACGGTAAAAGAATAATGTTCACTATTTACAAGGCTATCTTTATAGCTGTAACATAAAATTAAAAGCCTCACAAAATTAAAAAACAAAATTTTAATGTTGAAGTGGCAAATGTTTTGTTACATATTTACCACAATTAAAAGTTACAAAATTTTAATAGCAACAAAAAATTAAATCAATCCAACCAACCTATTAAAAACTTTCAAATTACTAACATCACAACTCTTAGCCAAATGGTTGATTCAAATTCACATACTATAGAAAGGGGTTCTTCTCATAACTCCTATAAAGGACTTGATCCAAATATGTAGAAAATAAACTTGCACATATGGAACACCTTACTGGATGGCGGTATACTGAGGGCTTAAGAGGATGAGGTTTCGAAGCCTAGATTTTATCCTAACGCAGTTAAGCAGCATGAAACAGGAAAATACAATGAAATTTAAAGTCTAAATGCCTATCATCTTGTCCCAGCTTCACCAGATACTAAGTACTCGATCCAGAATAAATCCCAAGAGAAGTGGATAGCTGGTCTCACATATGATGAAAGTACTTAAACAGCAAAGAAGGAAAAGCAGAGACTAAAAAAAGGAAGACACTTCAAAGGTAACAGACAAAGAGTAACCCATTAAAGTACTCTGCTATTCAGTTATAAATAATTGTTTACTGAGTATCACCATGTGCTAGACATTGGTAATACAGCCAAGAATTAGACAATCTAACTGATAAGACAGATAAATATGTCATTAAAATAAGATGTGAGGCTACTACAGGAAAAGTACTGGATGTGTGGGAACATGTAATAGAAGCACCTTATCTAGTCTAGGGAGTCAGAGAAAGCCTTCCAGGAAGTGACTTTTAATTTATACCTGAAATCAGCCAAGTCAAGAGTAGTTAAGAGTATTATGTTAGGAAGCAGGCAGTGCCCATAGACTGGGCACTCTAGCCTAAAGAAACAATTCAAGTATTTGACGCAGGATGCTGCACAGAGTTGCATTTTGGGACTGGTGATCAGACTGGAGAAGAGTGAGAGCAAAGGCAGGGACAGCACTCAGGAGGCTGCTGCTGTACTGTGGGGAGGGAAGACGGTGGCCCACAGCCTCAACAGTGGGGCCGGAGGAAAGCAGACTGGAGAGGAAGCAAAAGTAACAGGACTGTTCAGAAAGAAGTAAGAGTGTGGCAAAATGGAAAGAGTGTTCCCCCCCCCCAAATGTGTTTTACTGAAATATAATTTATGTACAGTGAAATACACAAAACTAAAGTGACATGGGTCAATGCATTTTTTTTTTCAGTGTTGCAGTGTTCTCCCCCCCTCCCTCCCACCCCTGGCAACCAACAAAGAAAGTTTCCCTCCATATATAAACCTTTCCTTGACCCTCCACAACAACAAACTAATCCTATATTTGTTCTTCTGTTACTGACTTACTTCACTCAGCATCATGTCCTCCAAATTCATCCATATTATGTGGGGTTTTGCAGACTCTACATTATTCTTTAGTGCTGTACAGCATTCCAGTATGTGTATGTACCATAGTTTGATCATCCACCTCTTCTGCTGATGGGCTCGTACACTGTTTCCAACTTTTTGCTATTGTAAATAGTGCTGTGATGTGTGATTTAACCACACATGCAGCACCATTTACTGTGGCATCTTCTCATGTGTCTCACTGAGAGCAGTGTGGTTAAATCACACATCAGCAGGAAGCTTCTTCACTTCATATTAAAAGAATAGAAATCTCATTTCTTTCCTCATTCCTGCAAGTCACAGCACATTTTTGCCTGTTTACCCCATCTGAAAAGAGAAAAAGCTTTCTCTTTATAGCTCTTAAACTGATAAAATGAGAAAGGTACATATAAAACTCAATTATATGAAAGCGCAACTCATATAATTGGGTGTGCATATATCTGTTCCTGTCCTGGCTCTCACCTCTCTAGGATATATACCTAATAATGAGATTTCTGGGTCAAATGGTATCTCCAACTCCAACTTTCTAAGTAATTGCCTGTTTTCCACAGTGGTTATATCACTTTACAATCCCACCAGCAGTGTGTAAGAGTCCCAGTCTCTCCACATCCCCACTAGCATTTGTTATTTT